CCAAAAGTACTATTTGGTGGTTTTTCTTTGGTTTGGCAAGACAAATTGCAGAGGGCGATTTCAAATTTTGTCTTTTGTTCTCGAAATGATTGTTTCTCGCTAAAGCGCAGTGTTCTTGAAGGAAGGTAAGCTGAACGGTGCTGATGGTGAAATCACTCAGTGGGCGTATTGTTAAAAGGGCGGGCTGGTCCAAGTCGGAAGCGCTCTCACTGAACAGGAGATTTATTTGCTGAATTGGGTAATAGCTGGTCACCGAGTCAGGTACTATTACCTAATAAAAACTCAACATTTTTAGTTTTGTCCAGATATTGCCTTAGGATCATGGATAATGATATTTCTAATTCACTTTTAAGAACACCATGCATAATAACGAGAAAAAATGAAAGCGTAAACGAACATGTTACACCTACATTGGGGAACATTTCGTTCGGAATCAGGTCGTTATTCCCCACCAGCTTCTTTATTACTTTGGAAACCAGCATGATTTCTGGACAGCCCTCGAGCCAAAGCTGAGATCACTTCTCGTATCTTGTCCTAAGTTATCGATATAATCAAGCCAAACTAAAGGATCGAAAGAAATTCTTCATCACCTTCTTTGTAAGTATGTACATAAAACATTACTGAGAACCGTTCATACATTTCGCAGGTTACATCTTACCGTTTTTGTGTTTTGGCTTTAAATTTTGGAAAAAAAATATAATTTTGGAGCTGGAAAATTGTGCCAACATGTTATTCATACATGTAATTTTTTTATTTCGAATAAGACTTGCATTTTTGTATATTTCGTGAATCACATAATTATTCAGCAAGTGTGCTAAGAACATCTGTTCACATTATATTTGTTCAAAAAAAGCTTTTTTTTATCGAAGGTCACATCTACTCTGCTCTCAAACAAAATTCCTCCACGACCTCTGGTATCAGAGATGGTTGACCTAGAACTATTTAACCCCGCAAATACCAATGGTAAAAAACTTCAAAAGCCTTGTACTTTCAGAACTCAAACAAAAGTGAATGCACATATACAAAAAAGAGGCAAATTTTTGAGGAAAAAACTCTTCGTTCGAGTTCTTCTCTGACATTTGATCATAAAAAACGAAGGAAGATTATAACCGATAACAGAGGAGATTGGATTTATCAGATGGTCTATGATATCTATACGTCTATAAAATGTCTTCACAGAAACATTGCTCGCAATTGTCTTCAGAAACTATGGAAGCTCCTCAGAGAGCTTCATTTCGTAATGCCTCTTAGTCACTTCAGCATCTTCTACCTAGCGTACTTGTTCCCACCAAATTGATGCTACTTTGAAGTTTTTTTGACGATGGAAAAAAATATACATCATCACTTTTTTCGAGTACATTTAGGAATTTACCATCAGAATGCAAGTCGCAGTACTTTTGTTTCTGATAGGCATAGCTACGGCCATCATCAGACAGCCAATGACATGGCGTACATCTAAAAGAGTTAGTTTCAACAACTTTGCTTTGAAAAATGGTGACAGGAA